AGAGTGAGTGGACGAATTAGAGGAGCGTCTTATTTTCTCCTTGGGAGTTAGCCGCACAAGCGAAAGCATATCAATGTTTTTGACCCTTTCATTTCATTTCTAAAATGTAGGTTGTTTCATATTTACGTACGATCATAAAGTATTTGAGGTGGAGGATGCAACTAAGCTATTTGAGTGATCTAGCCATTAAATCCAAGAACTGAAACCAATCAAATATATTGCCCTACTACTCTCCTTTTCACCTTCCTGTATCCCTGCTGCCGGCCGGCTTGCACCCGCAGTCAGGACTAGTCACATCCTGCACATAGATTTATCCACATGGATTTCTTCTATGTGATTCTTACCTCACTTTGAATTGTTGTGTAGGTTGTTGCTGTGTATTATCTACTTAACTATAAGGATAAATTACATATTTTAATAGAACTTAACAAATAACTTAAAACACGTAGTCTAAGAAATATAAGTAGAAGAAAGTTTTCCAAGAAAATGTATTTCTTTACACGTGGAACAAATAATTTGTTTCAGCGATCTGGTAAATAATCTGCAACAAAAAATATTATGAAAAAATTGTCCACTCAAAAAGTATTTGCCTTATTTATGCAATTAATGAACTATGATAGAAATTCTTCATAAGTTCTAAACTTAATTTCCAAAATACTCATAAAAAGTAAATGGTAGATGTCTTTCCACAACACTTAAAATAAACAAAAGACCATTAGCACTTAATTAGTACACACGGAATTTAAATGCTTACATCTGACAACAATAAATATAAATATACTTGTATGCTTGGCTTGTATAGAATCATGTGATCTCAAATGACTAGCAAATCATGTGACATGATCATAAAACATGCATGGTCAGAAAGAGATCTGATATACCTAAGAAGTTCATCAGCCACAGAAATAAAAGATGAGCACCACATAGTGGGATGGGCTTGGGAGAGGGCCCATAAGCCACCATGGTTAAGTACTTTTGTAGGATCTAAAATAGATTTGGGAGTACTATCTTTCGTAAAGAGTGTATTATATACTACCGATCATATTGACATATGTATATCGCTTAATACTACCTTTATTTTAAAATTTAATATATTTGCCTATGTAGTACTTGGATAGGTTCGTGTCTAACCTCTTTGGGTCATCTAGTAAGTTATCCTATTTAGAATATGTCAACGCTAACACGATCACTTCATGGCACCACCTATCACGACAATGTAGAATTTGATTTGAAGACAATCTTTTCATTTTCCATTTTGCAAAAATAAAGCTTTTTTTTCCAAAAGTGTACACGTGACGTCCTCGTAATGGGTAACTCCAATATGTCTCCCTTCCTTCCATTTGGCGACATTGGGTACGTCATGTCGCGGTTTTAGTGAGTGATAACAACTTTGACAATGAAGTTGGATAAGATGGGGTTTTTTTTACTTTGATGATTCAGTATATTTTTTGTAAAAAATTTCACCATTGGATTATTTATTTTATAAAAAAATGAAGGAAAATACTTTTTTTTTAAAAAAAGGGAAAATCCTGTGATTACTCGCTATTACCACAAGAACACAAATCCCATAGTACATTGGTGTTAGCCGAATACGAAACAGATATCCTAAATTCTTACTGCTCCCTCCGTTTCTAAATATTTGACGCCGTTGACTTTTTTAAACATATTTGACCGTTCGCCTTATTCAAAATTTTTTATGAAATATGTAAAACAATATGTGTACATAAAAATATATTTAACAATAAATCAAATAATAAAAAAATTAATAATTATTTAAATTTTTTAAATAAGATAAATGATTAAATATGTTAAAAAAATCAACGATGTCAAATACTTAGGGAATGAACGAGTACTCATTTTCTCCTGTCGATAGAACTAGTGACCACTCCACAAGTGACGGTGGCCCACCGGCCGGACATTCACCGGCGCGTGTTTGGGTCCAGGAAAGGGAGAAAAGCTCTCGCGCCTCTCATTTTTGGCGCGGGAGCTGCTGCTGAATCCGAATCCGATCGAATTGTGTGCGAGTCGCATGGGACCCCATAGCCAAACTGTACAAACTATCGGGTAATGTCTGATTTGTCTTATCATTGTTACTACTACAATATAGCTAGCACACAGTGTGTGAGAGCTATAGAGTGGAAACAGTTACGAGCTAGCAGGCCCTCACTTTTACTATGTGCGTTGAAGCTAAACAGGTATTTTATCTGATCTGCCTTGGAAAAAAAAGGGATTGTGTCTGCCTGTCTGGTCTCTGTTCATACTTGCAAAATTGCAAGCTGGTCAATATCTCACATTCTATCCATGCAATAATCTGTGTAGAAGTAGGAATTGCCATCATCTGGTCCATAAATTCATCCCACACGAATAAGTTATTATATTCTTTTGCCTAAAAAAAGTGAAGTTCAAAGGATAATCTAATTATTTTTTTTAGATAATAGAATGAAAGAATCCCGGCCTTTGCTCAAAAGAGCTGCAGCCAATTATTAGAGTCTAGCACTCTCGAAGAGTGACATTCAAAATAATCTAATTAATAAAAGAGTGAAGACATAGACATTCAAGGTTTAAAAGATATGGATTCCAAGTTTCAGCGTGGATGGTGAGTATTCGCTAGGGTTTACAAAACATGTACGGAGTATAAAACACTTTATTTTCAAGCTACTCGAGATCATAGACCACTCATTAGTTAACTTACGAAGTTCAACAAAATTCAAGCTGATTTTAAGTTTATGCAAGATTTGGACAAATTTCACTGTTGGTCAATGATTTCATGAAAACCGAAAAACCACTTGGGAGCGTTTTCCAAGGTAGATCAATTTTGTGAACCCAGGGATCCAATTTCTCCCACCAACAAGTGAGTACACATCGCAAGTTATATCAAGGGCAATGTATCTTGCTTAAACATTCTTACTACCTCCGTCTTAAAAAAACAATTTTCAAGGGTTAATTTGGATAACAATCAGTTCAGTTTCATTCTGACAAAAGTTACCTTATCTCTAAGTCAAAGGGTGCAGGATAAAATGAATTACTACTAATTCAAGTAGTACAATTTATGTAGTAAAATTCTCGTGTTTCTTTTTTTAGGGGTAAATTCTCGTGTTTCAAAGAAGCCATAAAAGACATGAACAAGATTGGGTTACAGTAGTGTAGTATAGTAGCTAGGATGCGTGGCGCATTTTCATTTTGCAGTACGCAATAGTTGGCTACCCCCTCAAGGCTCAAGCTATAGTAGTATCGGCAACAAGTCAACGACCACCATCAAAACTCAAAAGGACAGTACTGTGTCGTCTGTGAGCATATCATACTGTATCCTCCACCTACAGTATGTCTCAAAAAAAAAAAACGATCGATGACGATGTGACGATCCTTTCTCTCCATGGTTCGGTGCGTGCATGGCCAGATCGATCAGATGGACCACACGATCTCCATCCACCACTACACACCCGCGCGCGCACACGCCACGCCACACCACCCAGATCACCAGCAGGCGGCGCACGCGCGCGACGCAAGCAGACACATGGTGACCTCGGATGCGCGCATGCATGACGCGCGCCGCCGCCTGATCGGCTGGGCATATGTACGTACGGCGCCACCGCGCCGTGTGCTAGCTCCGGCAAAAGATCCGGCCGCGCCTCTGCTGCTGCTGCTGAGGCGCATGATACCGCATGCATGCGCGGCCACACGGCTCTTCGCGTTTCCGCCGCTTTGTAGCCTTTGGCGGGGGATGCGCGCGGCGTGTGCGTCCAAAGAAAGGGGATGAAAAAAAAAAAAGGCGCATGGATGCAATGGATGCATGCAGCATGCACCAACGCCACCACCGCCAGCAGCTGCCAGCAGCAGCGGTAGCAGGTTGGAGTAGGATAGCAGCAGCAGCTAGCTACAGCCTACAGGAGGGACGCGTCCAAGCAGCTGAAAAGATGGATCAGAGGTTAGCTGCATGTTGGGACTTGGTGCCAGCCGAGGTTATAGGCGACAAATGCCCAACAGTTCTCCAGCTCTACTCCTCCAGAGTCCACACCATGACGACGTTCCTATAGCTCTAGTCTTGATGCGGTAGTACCGAGTACACTCTTCTTCCACTACTCACGATCTACTCCTCCGTTGTTTGAGCAAGTTTAATAGTATAGCCGAATTCTAGCTCCAAATTATCTATAACTAATATAATAGTCCATTCATATAATAGTTAACTATAAAAGTATACTACACCATTAATACCTGGTTCCACCTCTCATACACACATAATGTCTTGAAGCCCATATTGCAGCTGGCTACAAATCTATAGCCCGCTTGTTGATGAAAAAATCGAACACACTGACCTGGGAGATCTGCTTAGCTCCTGTGCAGGTCCAAATATTGATGAGATGCGGGCGTGCCAGTCAGTTTGATCCTACAACTCACAAGATATGCAAATAGTATATCTAAACAGCCGATCGGCTGACAAGCCGATGGAGTAGTTCCAGCCGATAGCCGATAATAGCCGATACCGATACCAGCCGATAGTGATAGGGTTTAAGCAATCGGTTATATGTCCAATGTGGATAATGATATAAAGTCAATCGGCTGATGATGATGTACACTACACCATGCCCCTAGTTTGCTTACTACATATCTGTCAGGACAGGACCTATATGCTGTCAAATTATTTGTCAGCAAAACTTTTCCCGACAGATAGGGTCTGTCAGGCCAAGTGCTGCCGGCAAAAGTCTTTCCCGACAGATAAATATGTGCTGACAGATAGACTGATAGTGTTGCTACATATTTACCGACAGATAGTTTTACCAACAGATGGGCATTTACCGACACTTAAGAAGATTCCCAACAGATAGCATATCATTGTGTTATAGATTTGCCGACAATTAATGTATAGATGGCTAGCACAATAACTTACAAGCAATCAGTCGGTAATCCACACAAAAAAATATACTAATTACCTATTAGCATCCATTTTATGAACCATACCTCAAATTAAATTTGCAACATACATGGATGAATACCACTCCAAATTTTGCAACACAGATTATCATTTTTAGTAAGTTACACACATGCATAACACAATATTAAACTATTCATAACTATTGTTCATCCATCAAGTAGCCTTCAAGTACCAGTATCACAATAGCAGTATTCTGATACAAATAGCAGTTGTCCATCAGCTCAAATAGCTATTACATAAATGTCCAACTTAGATATAATGGAGTTCTTCAAGTACATAGCAATAATTACATAACTTAGATGCAACTAAGGTTCTTGTAGGTGTATCGAGGTTCCAAAAACAATACAAATCATCTCTTTTATGGTTCTTGTAGGTTCTTGGTTTTCTTTTACAGCACCTCTGCTAGCCCTTTTTATGGTTGCCTGCAAAATAAGGAAAGCTATGCTTCAGTCCACAATATCACATTCTCTTTGCTGAAATAAAAAATGTAAACAGTATAGAAGATACTGCCACCATATGTGAAAGCCCAATTTTTTTCATCTAACAGTTCCATGGACTATTTTTTTCATAGAAGCAGCACATGATAGCCCAACAAAACACCATGTGAAACATGATAGCCAAGATTCAGTGTCAGCCTCACTTGTGGTAACCACAACGAAACAACATATATATGTTTGCAGCTGAAATAGGGAAAGGTGAATTGGAAAAAAAACAGGTGGTCGACTTCAGAATAAGGGAATACTATATTGATAGACTTCAGAACTACTATCATCAATATATGTAAGCTAACATCCAATGCTATAATCAATGAACTGTACAGATTCAGATGCCCCAATAATGACAAAACATTACTGTATTCAGATTCAGATGCCCCAATAATGCTAACATCCAATGCTATGCAAAAATGTAGACACACCTACAAACAGGACAGTCAGTGACGGGAGTACCAAGGTCCAATAGACCACAATACCTTGCAGATACAATGTTAAGTATAACCCTCATGGAGAGGACTCAAATGAACTAATTATTGCAGATACAATGGCATTTCACTTGTCACCAAGAAGTGTTCAGTTAAGTGATCATGTCTATGAATGTTTTCATGGTTCCACACTCAAATTGCCATGCAATTTATAAAACACTCATGAAAAAAAAGTTTGTAGTACTGATTCAGCATTTTGTATATTGGTCCTATCACTCACAAGGTAAACTGTTGAGTGATCACTAGTTGTTTCCATGATGAGTTCACACATTTTCTACATGGGTATAATATTTTATCTCCTATTGCAGACTTGCTAAATGCAAAATCAAGGAAATTGTCCACTCCTTGTATATAGATTTGTGTGTGCCTAGGCTCATCCATCCACGCCTTATCCATGATGATTAGCTAACGTCCAACTTGAGTCCACAGTAATCTTTTGATATATTAGTTGATATATTAGTTGACAGAATCAGCAAACAGTAGCATAAACGTAGTTGAGCAACTGTGATTTTTTTTCTAGCCTATATACAAGTCCAGTTTCTAAATACACAAATTAAGACATGATATTGGTCCCTTTCTCTTGAGTAATCTTGCAGTGTATTTTTTCCAGAAGCAACTGAGCTAGAGACAATATACACTACATTGCAGCTTACCAAGTATAAATAGTATGATTTTTATGTACTCAGATTATAGAATAATGGGAGAATATATAGGTACTAATCTGATAAAAATCTTGTTGATCTAAATTTTTTAAAGGTTAAACATACTAATTTTGGATTTATTTCAGAATACTCACAGTGTGGCAGTGAAAAAAACAAAGTGCATAACTCTGAAGTGTGAAACAACTTGGTATGTTGCATTATTTTAATTTTATTATGTAACTTAGTTTGTCATATTTCCAGGCTATGTCTGCGGAGATGTTTTCCAGTACACTGAGTAGATTAGCCAAAGAAGCTAATATCCAAAAAAAAAACATCTAGCTAGCTACACCACATCAATCCAAGGGGAAAAAATGCATGGGATTAACTTATTGCCATCGCAGCTAATAGGAGAGGGAGGAAATGCTGTACATGTTGCAATCACATCGAATTCAGAAACACAGCTAATCAGATCGAGAGTTAATTGAGGTACCTGCTCACTGGACAGCAAGGCCTTCTTCTTCCCAAATCGAAACACACCTTCTCTGGCTCAGGGAACCACCGCGCTGCATGGCACACATAGAAAATCATCATGATGATCTTGCGGGAAAATATGATTTCGTTTCTACCACGTACCTTGCAGCTTCGAACTTTGAACTCGCCGCCGCCGCCGACTTGGATGAAGGTGTGGAGAAGGTGGGAGGATTTCGCCGAGGCACAGGGGGAAGCGGGGCGCGGTGGATGGGGAGCGAGGTGGCGGCGCGCGGCGGATTTGGCCAAGGAGGAGGTGGCGGCGCCCAGTGGATGGGGAGGAGCGTGGAAGGGGGAGAGGTGGCGGCGCGCGGTGGAAGCGGGGGGAGGAGGCGGCGCGCGGTGGAAGGGGGAGAGGTGGCGGCGCGCGGTGGAAGCGGGGAGAGGAGGCGGCGACCTAGCTAGGGTTTTTTTTGGCGTGTTTTTTTTTTGGCGCACAGAATATCGGCGGTTTTTTTTATTTCCTGCCTGAGCTTTCACCGCGCTCTATCCTAGCCGTTGAATCAAGATCTGACGGACGAAGTATTGCTGACAGATGGATTATCATTAAGTTTTCCTGACATATAATTGGTTTCTAGTCTTAAAATTGCTGACAGTTATTTTGACCCCAAAAAAATTTAGAATTGCTGACATATAATATGTCTTATTACATAGTATTCCCAACATATAATTTGCCAAAAGCCTTTGCCAACAAATAGCCTATCAATAATTGTTTATCTTTACCGACAGATGTCTGTTGGTAATCTAGTGTCATGGTGTAGTGGTAATAAAATAACAATATAATCCAGTATAAACCAATCGGCAAATAATGATATGATAAATAAGCATCGATCCGAAGGTTAAAGCACACATCGGCTGGAGGTCCGATGTCATGAAATCCACAGGATCAGATTAAACAATGAAACCTTTGTTGTCATCGGCTAAATCCAACTTATATGTATATGCAATCCTTATGAGCTGATGCAACGTCCAGATAACTCATCGGCTGAAACCCCGATGAAACCCTTATTGGCAGTCAAAAAGCAGGCTAGAGATTATGGCTCTAAGCACGACTTAATAGATCAAACTTAACTGATGCAGCACTAAGTATGAAAAGAACCATAATATCTAGACAATCAAGCCGATGACTGATTTTCAGGGTGGTAGATGTCTAAGCTAATCTAATCTAGCAACACGATTTAGCCCATACCGGCAGAAACCCTAAAACGAGAAGCAGTCGATAGAGCTAAATTGATATGCTAAGACTAGATTAACAGAGACATATGATAAATATGTAAGCAAATATAGCATCCAAACCAGAGCAATCCAAGAGGTCGAATGTACTGATGCAGCCTTGAACGACGCCGACGTAGACGATATAACTGCCTAGACCGACGGAACATTGGACTTACCACTTCGCCGGAGATCGAACACCGATGCAGCCCTCCGTCGGGCACCAAGTCCCGCCGGATGATAAAATGAAGTAGAAAAGGTAAAAAGGGTGGTGATGCGCCGAATTGTATTAATTGTGAAGATTGATTACATAGACCCCGGGTGTACATATTTATACCCATGGGTTGATACAAGTCCTTGTCGGACAAGAAAGAAACTTTCCTAAAGATAAAAGGAAAAGATAAAGTCCTTATAGGACACTAAACACACTTTCCTAAAGATAAAAGGAAACTAACAAACTATTTCTAATTAATAGATAACTTGCCATGCCGCATTCTCTTTGAACTCGGTCTCTTCTGGATAAGCTTTCTTTAGTAGATCAATTTCCTTAACCGAATATAGCAAGAATCCGACAACTGACGACTTGACAACTCTCATCGGCTAATCTCAGGACTTCGAAGCCGATGCTGACTCTAAGCCGATGACTACTCCGGGCTTACCAAATTTCACTGTTAACACCGCTTTCTTCTCTTTTCTCTCTTTTCTTCTCGATATGTGGTTATAGCTGGCTTATAGCCTGCTATTGTACATGCTCTTATGGGCCTGTTTGCTTGAAGGGACGAATATCCATTAGTCCCTCTACTTTAGGCTGAAGGGACGAATCCATTAGTCCCTCTACTTTAGGCATGTGTTTAGTTCCTTCCAAAGTTGAAGCTTGGGTTGAAATTGGTACGATGTGACTGAAAAGTTGTGTGTATGACAGGTTGATGTGATGGAAAAAGTTGGAAGTTTGGATCTAAACACAGCCTTAGTCCTAAACAGGGATGAGTAGAAATAATTTAAAAGTGTATTAGTCTATTAGTCCCTGTGAAAGAAGCTTATATGAACTAAATTGTAGTACCGTAGTATTTGAGATAAGAAGAAAGTTTTGGTTTCGTATTGATCAAATTTTTAATTTTATATTCCTTGGATTCTTCTTCTGAGCATCTAAGCACATGATCGATTGGCTGAAAAATGCTTTCTTTAATTCCTATGCATTGGAATCACTATCACACAAAGTCTTATATTTTGTGTAAAATTTAAATCTTAGATATGCTTTTCTAAAGAAAGCATTTAGGAACGGAGGGAGCACTAATTCTTAAAATGTAAGTGAAAATCTTGACTATTTTAAAAAAAGAAAGGTTACTAACAGAAACCACGGCCTTTAAAACTCCCCAATAAAACCTTGATCTCTACTACTCTCGACCCCACTTTATACGGAGTAGCTACTTTTAGGGTTTATATTTTGTCCCGTAATATTGCAACTTCTTCATTTTTTTATATCAACCAATTATAAAAAATTTCTCAAATAATTTTTACATTAACTTTCTTATCTTAATCAATCACTGTCTTATCTTATTTAATTTCACTCCATTTGTTAATCTCTTATCTTATCTTAATCAATCACCGTCCTATCTTATTTAATTTCACTCCATTTGTTAATCTCTTAAGGAAGAGTGGTATAATATGAGACGTAGAGAGTAGTCTGCAGCATGATGATGCATATATAGTACTCCCTCCGTCACATAATATAAGGGATTTTGATATTTTACTTGTACTGTTTAACCATTCGTTTTATTAAAAAAGTTAGAATTGTTATTTATTTTATTTATGACTTACTTTATTATCTAAAGTATTTCAAGCATAACTTTTTGTTTTTTATATTTGTACAAATTTTTTAAATAAGACGAGTGATCAAACAAGTGAAGCAAAATGTCAATATCAATAAGTAGCAGGTCAAAAGTAAATTAAGGGGAGGAATAAAATCGACTGCATATTGCTGCAGTAATTGTAGACGTATACATGATCGATGCAGCAGCTACTCCAGCTCTTGCGGCCAGTGGCCATGCATGGTGCATCCAGTCTGCGTCTGCGTGTTGCCTCCATCCCTCCCTCTGCCCACAATATTCCAGGTGGACATAAACAACTGGGTCATGCATGCATAGCAGGAGCGGCCAGAAACAGCAGTCAGCAGGCCATGATATTTAAGGCCGCATCAGGGCCGGCGCACGGAGGAATTGCGGGCTGGTTGACTTACCAATATTTGTCAATTTTAATAGTGTTAGTATTTATTTGGTTTGAAGCTAAATTTTAGTATGCCTAAGAAAATAGGCCATTTCAATAGTGAACTTATGCTATTTTGGCTTCAATCTAAACACAATTTTACCTTACTAAAATTAGTTATGCCAAAATTTGACACTGATAAAATTTGGTAAGGTCTATTTAGACCACAAACCGAACCAACCTACGTATACCCGTATAGTACACACTGGTATAAAGTAGTGCGTGTCATCACAAGCCAGCACTTTCACTACTGCGTCTATACTTGCACATTGCATGCCAACGTCTGCATACCCAGAATGCTCTCTGTACCTCACAGTTGATCACATGATCCGTCTGCGAGTTACTCGTACTACTACTGTATTTAGTACACCCTCTATACTCGTAATCGTAATAAAAGTCGTTTATAATAATATTTAAATTAAACCTTAGAAATATAAATCATGAATAACTCTTAAGTTGTTGAGTTTGAAAATATAAAAATTATATGAATAGATTTATCTTAAAAAATACTTTTATAAAATATACATATATCATTTTTCAATAAATATTTTTATAGAAATAAGAAGTTAAATTTGTGTTTTGAAGACCGTATCGCTGTTCAAAACGACTTACAAGTACAGAGGAAGTAATTATACTGAGTACGAGTAGGAATAGTACGCAGTGTTTACGTGCCAGTGCGCGTATAGTGCTTGCCTTGCCTGAGAGAGGTTACAGTAGTTCCAAGTCGATCGCAACCCTTTCCGTCTTTCGAACGTTGAGGAAGAGACAGTATATGCATGCTCGGTCCGTACGAATTACTAGTAGGAACATTGGCATGGCTACCGTGGCAGGAGACACGCAGGCAGACAGACTACGTGGCAGAGGCAGGACTGTCTGGCAGCCATGGGGCCATAGCGTCCGAAACAAGGGAACGATCACATCGCTGGAAATGGCCAGTCGCGCAGAAGGCAGAGGCATGAGAACGAGCGCCTGATCCCGTGCATGCATGTGGTCACGGCGTCGTCCCGGCCGGCGAGCCGCAGATCGATCAGCAGGCCGGACCCCCTGTCCGTGCCCCCTGTCCGTGCTGCCGTGCGCTGACACGGCGACACCGCGTCACGGCCACCCACACCGCGCGAGTACCACGTACCACGTACAACCTTCCCGCAGTTACAACCGTTCGTCCCCCGATCCGTCTCACCGACCGGACAACCGAGGCGATCACCGTCGCACGCGGCAATCTGCGCAACGGAGGCGCAGCGCGCGGTGCGGGAACGTATCACCGCTAGCACGAGAGCTGGAACGCGGGGGAACGAGTAAATAGCGAGTAAATATCCGCATGATCCGTGGCCACGGCGCGCACGGGCACATAGCTAGGCGATCGACCCGGACGCTACAGGATTATTCTGGGGGCGCATATAGCTACTGCACGGGCAACATCCGGTTAAATCCGTTGGTGACGACGTTAACGGAACTGTCTGGCGGTACATTACATATTCGAAAGGTACAAATCAGTATGATGAGGATTTATGAGAATCCATATCATTGTTGGATATTTTAGCTAGATTCATACTCCCTCCGTCCCACAATATCTCGATTCCTAGGGGAGGGCTTTGTCAAAAAAAAAAAACGATTCCTGCACAGAAAACCGAATAACCTCAACTCTATCGTATCATGTGTGGGGATAGGTGGATGGCGAGTTGGCGACTTCTCCATAACCTTATCTCCTCCTAGCCGCATATCGCATCTCTCTCTTCCTCTCGCGTTTCTCTCCCTTTCTTCCCCGTCGCCCCTCTGGATCGATTGCATCGACGCGGCGGCGTCCAGATGTACGACCCTGCAAGCTTCCGACTCCCTCCCTACCTCCCTCCCGCTCCTCCCCGCCCGTCTCGCCTCGCTCCACGCTGCTCCCCCAGGCTCCCACTTATATAGGGTTTGTTGTAGTGGGGTGCGCTGAGATTCGTGATCCTTGCCGCCAATGAAGCAATGCTGAGATTCAAATTATTTGGCGCCCTGGTGGCTGTATATTAGTAGTATTTATATATTGAGCACTTAATGGTTGCAGCAGAAGTAATAATCCAACCTGTACTACTATTTTATTTGTAACCAATGATTGGATGTACTTTCACTGAGGGTATTTCAGTCTTTTGCCACTTTGTTCTAAAATTGCCTTGGGATTCTAGGGTTGGAGATATTGTGGGACGGAGGGAGTATGATGTTAGGTAAGAAAGTATTATTTTATAAATGGTGTGTTTGAATTTATCTATTCGATAATGACATAGGCTATGTCTATGGATTACATTAAATCAAATTTAATATGGAACATAGAGATGAATATGGTCTTGGGGGAGTATGAGATGCCCCAACTGAGTCTAATTTCACTTGGCAAAATAACTATGATGATAGGAGAGGAGGTGCAACACTTTATTATAGGTAGATTAGAGGGGAAGAAGTTACAATAATATAGCAGAGACTCTTGATTACGGTGAGCCTGGTGAATACTTGTCGGGACAATTCAGAGTGAATAACAAATGAAAACAACACAAGTCCTGACACACGGAGGTTCGCGCAACAAACATATTTAGGTTGTTCAGCATATTTCTCAAGGTGTGGTTTGTTAGAGATTGTGCCAAATATTTGTACAAAGTCGGTAACAGTTTAGGACTTCGAAGTTGTAATAGGTGTAAGACATAGTTAAAGTCAAATTCATCATAGGCTCTCTTAAATTTAGAGCTGGCATCCTGGTTATAACCATATGTGTTTAGTTCACGCTAAAATTAAAAGTTTGATTGAAATTGGAACGATGTGATGGAAAAGTTGGAAGTTTGTATGTGTAGTAAAGTTTTGATGTGATGGAAAAATTAAAAGTTTGAAGAAAAACTTTGGAAATAAACACGGCGTATAATAACGTAGCTGTTGGTATGACTGGTATGGCTAGTCAGCGGTCCAGTCAATCGAGGATCGTGGATACGATGTAATATGCTATATAGGGATAAACGCATGTAATCAGTATATCGGGATATAAGATTCAGTTAAACCTCGTTAATTAACAAATATCATGTCTGAACACTATTTGATTATCGATCTCGATTTTGGATCGATTTTATAACACATGTATTATTTCGCGTAGTACGAGACCTGGAACGCGGGAGGAGTAAATTAGCCAACGCGATCCTCATGATCCGTGGCGACGGCATGCACGGGCACGAGTAGTAGTGAACGATCGACCGGTCGCTACAGGATTATTCTGGGCCTGTGCGCGCACTGTGGCGGTGGTGGCAACTGCGTGTGTCCGGACGAATGGCCGTGTGTCACTGTGCGTGGCCTTGAATGCGGGGTTGCAACCAAAAGTGATTAAATTTCAAACTGGGCTGTCCCCTTGGGAGAGGGAGAGAGAGATCTGCTGGAAAAGGAGTGGGTAGATAGTGACAAGACGACGAAAAGGAGGAGGGGCCGGGGGGACGCGACCGTGATTTCCATTTCTATTCCTGGCAGCCTTTTGTTTTCAGGACCCCTATTTTTTTAATCTTTCAAACGTTACTCCCAGCTGAAAATAATCCTGTCAAATTACCGAGCTGCAAGTCCATGTTTCATACTTTCAGCAAGTAATCAGCTGAAATTAAATTACTGAAGTAACTAGGACAAGTTTGGTACCGGTGGCCTGGCTTTATTTCCTGATGACCTGAATCATGCATGGGTAGTACAGTACTCCATGCCTCTAGCAACAACCTGTGCTGAGAGCCTGCAATGCTTTGAGAGTAAAATTTGCATTGCTCTCCAGTTTTCACCTCAGTAATTACCAGAGAGCAGTGAGCGTAATGTACGCTCGGAAGCAGTAATTATTCAGTCGTGCACGAACAGTTGGCAGCAGATTTGGGTGCCCCACCAAGACTAGCCAGCTATAGGGGAGTATACTCGCCATTTCGCCATGGATCCAGCTGCAGCTGCAGCTGCAACAGCGAGCCCCATCCAGGTGAGGGAGCCGAGGTCACTGAACATATTCCATTGTTGTCTCTATTCTCCCCTCATGATTGCCATAATTTCCTCCTGCCTCTCCTCCTACTGGCTACAGCTACTCCAGCCTAGCCTAGCCTAGCCTAGCTACTGCCCATCCTCACCAAAGGAACGAATAAATGGCGCCACCCTCCACCGGACAGTATCAGCCCAGATTACCTCTCTTCTTTTACCAATGTGTGCATTGTTCATGTCTCCGTCTCACAAACATGACTCTACTCTACGCTCCCATGCATAACCATACATGCGTTACAGGAAATGGAGTATAAAGCGATGGGTTTGGATAGAAAAAGCGGAAATTCTGTTGGTCTTGAGTAGTGGAGTACTACTAGATTTACCCGAGGTTAGCTGCGAATGAGATACATACGTACGCGTGTGTGTATTTCATTTTTATTTGAGAAACTTAGTACAAGCGTGGCCATGAACATACACACCCACAATCTAAACCGACCTATAAGCACATATTTAATTAAAAACTAGTTGGATGGCCCGCGCAATTACTCGGCTAACACCCAAACAAAATCATATAATTTTTAAGTATGATTTTACTTAAAATTTATTAAATAGCTATCTTCTTCTCTTAGGACTTTGAAAGACCAAGCCTTATCATCCCCGTATTTCTAATTAAATAGTTGTTAAAAGTCACACCAGTTAGTACCCCTTACTTCTGTCATATCCTTTTTTATTTTCTTACTCGATCTACCACTATTATTCATTCTCCTTGGAATCTTTAAAAATTTAATCTAGAAGTCCCTTACAGTTTATTGTCTCGTTGGTTTTCATTTTTATGATTTATAGAAGTCCCATCAAACGCTGCCATTATACCCCTCTACGGCCCGCCCACTGTCTTTTCTCTTTATTGTCATTGGAATTTTAAAAATCAAACATAATTATCGTTCGAGTTCATTTTTTACTTTTAGAAGTCCCGCCAAACCGTCAACGGCTTTGCCATTGTACTCCTTTATGGCTCGCCCGCTGCCTCCCTTCTTTATTGTCATTAAGATTTTAAAATCAAACATGATTTTCATTGGTTTTTTTTTACTTTTTAGAAGTTTCGAACCTTTAAAAGAGTTGGACCTTATAGTTTTCAGAGTTTATTGTCTCGTTGGGTTTCATTTTTTATAATTTTTAGAAGTCCCGTCAAACGATGTTACTATACTCCTCTACGGCCCATCTGCCGCCTACTCTTTATTATCAATGTGATTCTAAAAATCAAACATAACTATCGTTGGAATTCATTTTTATTTTTTAGAAGTCCCGCTAACCGTCGGCGGCTCTGCAACTATACTCCTATACACCCCGCCCGCTGCTTTTCATTTTTATTGTCATTGAGATTTTAAAAATCAAATATGATTATCAATGAGGTTTATTTTTTTTTACTTTCTAGAAGTCCCGGCAACCGCCTTGCCTGTTTGCTTCATGGCCTGCCTGTTGTCCCTTCTTTTAATCATCATTAGGATTATATTTGGTGTTTTACTAACAGTTTTATATGTCGTATCAACCGCCACCACTCTACTCCTTTATAGGTCTATTACTTAATTTATCTCGTCATGTGTTTCAGATGGTATTTTTTTTCAATAGTTTTTTTATCACCAACTTTAGTTATTTATAAATTGTAATACTAACTGAAATCTTTTTTTTTCTTTTCCAACTTTAGATTTTTTTTTTCAAATTTTAATTAATACCGTATAATGTTCTTTAAATATTTTTATTTTTTATTTTTGAATTTCAGTTGTTTCAAAAGTGTATTCCTACTTAACTCTCTTTTAGTTTTTCTAATTTTGGATATGATTTTATTTTTTATTCTGAATTTTAATTGATCTCGTATTGGGTTTTTATATGGATTCTTCTTTCAATATCGTTTATTTTTAATTTCGAATTTTAGTTAATTTTAAATTGTATTCCTACTTAAATTTTCCTTGTACTTTTTACTAATTTTGGATTTTATTTTTATTTTATTTTGAATATTAGATAATCTCGTACTGGTTCTTATATGAACTTTTCTCTCAATATTCCTTATTTTTAATTCCGAATTTCAGCTATTTCTAAATTTGTTACTACTTGAACTCTCCTTTTCTTTTCTAATTTCGGATTTTATTTTATTTTTATTTCAAATTTTGAATAATCTCGTATTGGGGTCTTATATAGACTCTTCTTTCAATATTACTTATTTTTTGTTGCGAATTTTATTTTTAAATTGTATTTTATACTTGGACTCTCTTTTTCTTTTTCTCCGATTAATGTGGGAATTTCTAGCCCCTAAGCGAACGTGGTACCTTCTTTCAAGGCTGTTTTAATAATATAATAGATACCGGGCTGGTATATTTTAAGGTTGATAGTCATGATAGACATTGACATCTTAAGATTAACAAATTAACCATAAGTATGAGCATCTATGCTAAGTTTAACCCTTAAATCCGGTTAATTAGCATGTTTCATAAAAAAAGTCTAACCAATTAATTATTCTAAAAACCATGGTGTCAACTCATATTAGTATAGACGTTTGAGGCTTAGTCTGAAAATAGGTGAAGATGGCAGTTAAGATAACCTTTCTGAATATGTAGTCATACTGTAGGGTGAAAACGGTCCCAGTAATTCCCGAACATCCGGCTATCTTTTAAATTGCATTCTAGATAATATAATTAATTCTGGCTTTTGGTTCACAGAATATACATCCAATTATTACATATACACCCTCTGAAGAAATGGTTACTAACAGAAATAAAAATAAAAATACTACTATTTTCGTCCCAAAATATTTGTCGCTTTGAGTTTTTGTTTGTAAATTTTGATCATTTGTCTTATTAAAAAAGTTATGGAATAATTTTTTTATTTTGTTTGTGACTTGCTTTATTACCAAAAGTACTTTAAGTATGACTTGTCTTTTTTTATATTTGCACTAATTTTTCAAATAAGATGAATAGTCAAACGTTACAAACAAGAAGTCAAAACGACCACAAATTTGGAACGGAGGTATTACTAGAAACACAATATGAAAGTAGAAACAAAAAATATTTTTACTAGTCTACTAAGCATGGTTGTTAAGGCGTCTGTAAGGCGACGCCTTAGCGTCCATAAGGCGGTAAGGCGTGTCCAGGGCGTAAGGCATCTGCTCCGCCTTACGGGAAAAACTAGAGGAGAAAGAGCAAAATCAAGGAGATAAACCGATCCTGTAGAAGCAGCAGCAGCAGGGGAAGGTCCTGGAGAAGCAGCAACAGCAGGGGAAGGGGGAGGAATACAAAGAACTAACCTAAATCGTCATCACCGTCGTCCCCGACCACTAGCAAAGCCACATCCACCTCCCTCGATGGCTAGCACCACCCGACGATGAGTGGCTGCGGTAGGGGAAGAGGAAGGACCAGAGGAGCGGAAGGGATGAAGGAGATGGAGACGGTGGCTGGGCAGGGTTCTTGCCGTCGGCGGTAGTGGAGCGGACGCGGCTAGGTGTCGACGGGATTAGGGATAAGGATGGGGTCGGGGATGGGGATGGATTGATAAATATCTATCACCATCTTTCGTTTTAGTCCTTGGACTCTGTAGATATTGTGAAGAAGTCCTTCATTTCCTATTTTCATCATCCATTTTAGTCCATCGACTTTGTATATATTAAAAAAAGTCCTTCATCTCCTATTTTTCTATCTGCATAAGGCGTCGCCTCGCCTTACGCTTTACCGCCTTAGGGTCCTCGCCTTATGCCTTACCGCCTTAACAACCATGCTACTAAGCGTTCTGTTTTGGTTTATTATATTTTCACAGAAATTATTAGTATTCTATAATATGGTAATTACTATACGTCTAAATATTAGAGTACCTGTATATGTGGCCCATGTTTTGATATGAACCATATATGCCATACCATAGAGGCCCATTAACTCCTCTAGCTGCTAAACCTTATATTTATATGTTTCTGTCCAAATAATTTTATTTTTCCAATATTCCTAATATTATTTTCCTTTTTAGCTCAGCCGTTTTCGGCAACAAAAGAAAAAAAGAAGACCTGCATGCATTTGCCGAAATGATCCACATCATTTCTGGCCACTTTTAGCTTTAGTTGTGTTTTGCCCATCGTCTATATTGCTCGGATACTCCGATACATATATCGATACATGATATGCCATATGTTAAAAATATAGCTATTTCTGGAATTTTCATGGAAATTGAACCGAGAGTTAAAAAAAAAGAGAGACTAGAATGCCTTCATTAACTGTCCTGATTAGTGGGTGGTGGGGATTGTAAAGATGATACTTTCTCCGTTTCAGGTTACAAGACGTTTTGACTTTGGTCAAAATCAAACTGTTTTAAGTTTAACTACGTTTATAGATAAATATAATAATATTTATAATACTAAATTTGTTTCATCATATCAATAATTAAATATATTTTCACAATAAAATTTTTCTTGGGTTGAAAATGTTACTCATTTTTTCTACAAATTTGGTCAAACTTAAAACAGTTTGACTTTGACCAAAGTCAAAACGTCTTATAACCTAAAACAGATATTTGAATATTTCATCACTACAAATACCAATTTTCATTATGGTCTGGGAGTTTTTTTTTATAAGAAGTTCCTATTTGGTACGAACACAATTTAGTTTCTACACAGTCCCAGAATTATATATATATATATATACTCCATGATGGAGTTTACATAATTACAGTACGTACTAGTAGTATAACCAACGTAATGGCAATCTATATCTGGAATTTCTTTTAGCTACAACTCCTCCTACTACTAAATAGTACTCCCTCCATCCCAAAATATTTGACGCATTTTACTTTTTTTAAAAATGTTTGACCGTTTGTCTTATTAAAAAAAATTAAGTAATTATTAATTCTTTTAATATCATTTGATTTATTGTTAAATATACTTTTATGTATACATATAGTTTTTCACATTTCACAAAAGTTTTTGAATAAGACGAACAGTTAAACATGTTTAAAAAAGTCAACGGCGTCGAACATTTAGGGTGTGTTTGGTTGGAGGGATATCCCTAGATGGGATATGACGACCCAGTTTTTGAGTGTGTTTGGTTGGTGGGCGAGGGAGGATAGGGCGGCCCGGAGAGGGAATAATCCACGAAGATGTTGGATGAGTGTATCCGGACAAATTGGCCAGATGAGGATATCCACCTTAGCTAATCTTGATCATTAGTTCTTGATTAGCAATAATTAAATTATATTGTTGTTAATTAGTAATTAACTTGTCAAAATTAGTGCTAATTAGATATAATTACTCTATTTTATTGTTAATTTGTATAAACTATAGCTATATTAATGATAATTAACATATTTTATTAATAATTAATATGTTGTTGTTTTCATTCAATCCATTCTCATTCACCCAACCAAACAAGAAACTGGATGGCCATATCCATCTAACCAAACAAAAAAACTGAACCACCATATCCCTTAAAATATAGATGACAATATCCTATCTAGCCTTGACCAGGAACCAAACACACACCCGCGGGAAGGAGGGAGGAGTAGTATCTCTTGGTGTAATAGGATTACAGTATTTGCGTAAATTTCGTTTCAGCACCTGGTGATCTGGAGGGGTCACGAGTGATATAGACGGAGCTCATGATTAGTCACTTCATGTCTCGGCTTAGCTGCTAGTTCAGCGTACTAGTTCGTCGTCCCACCACTCCACCCCGCACAAGCACTGCACCACTCCACACCACGCAAAAGGCGAACACAGCCGGGGGCTAGCTATATCCTGTCACTTGCCATCACACCCCATCTCATCTGCAGTTTCTGAGTCCACAGGTGGGAGAGCTGGCTGGCTGTGTGATGCATCCTGTCCCCCCTCTCCCCTCTCCTCTCCCGGCTGCTAGCTCCCGATCGTGCCTCCGTTCCAGCAATCATGCTCTCGCCAAAAGGAACCAGCTCCCGGGAGCGGAAAAGATGTAAGGCGAGAGCGATCAGCTCAGCTAGCTCACCGACAAGCAGCAGCGGCGACATGTTTTTCGCATTACACAAGAGTTCATTTTGTTTCTGTGCCATGCCATGCATGGACGCATGGTAGGCCTACACTGATCGTGGAATCATCCTTTCGTCAAGTTCGACATCTTTTGTCCCTTGAAGAATCTAACGTTATCAGGTGTTGGTAGACCTGGCCGTATCATACTACTACATGCATGCATGCATGATGCAGAAATTTGGAACTGTAACTACTATTAAGAAGGACATCACTTGATATTTTATGCTGTTCTTCTTGCTGAATCAACTGACCTAATTTATCATCGTATATAATCCTCTCCTCCATAGGGTTTATGAGAGGTGGAGAAGACGTTAAACAGTAGTAGTGGTGGTACGAAAGCTCTCGCTGTCTCGCAACATGGCAGCAGCACGGCATGCGCCTCCTTTTCCTCACCAGCCATCATTAGCAGGTGTGTGCGTGCTGAGCGAGAGCGATACTGATAGGATCGCGCCCGTGTCCGGACCCGGGGCACGGAGGAGGCAATCGATTGCTGCGGTGAAAACAATGTCTCCTGATGAAGACAACACAATGGGAAGCCAAGACGACGGCCAGCATGGATGCACTTTCGGTCCGGTCTAATCCAATCCAAACATCCAATCCATCCTCGCTTCCCAAAAGCCAAAGCCACCTCTCCCTCTCTCTCTCTCTCGCTCTGCGTTGTGTTCAGCAGCTGGAGTAGCTTTTCTTCCTTTCGTTTCCTGTCTTTCGTGTCGCCTCACATGACTCGTCTGAAGGCTCTGAGTGCGAGCCAAGCTATGAGTGGCTATACGAGTACAGGGGCTAAGATGCTGAAGGAAAGAAAAAACACCCGGCCTACAGTTACTAATAAGTTGGCAGCTGATCCGATGCTAGTAGGTGAAGCCTGCCTCCGGGCCGGGAGAAACCGGGTCGGTCGTGGTCGTGGTGCGCATGCAGTGTGCACGCGTCGCCGCGGAACTGACCCGGAGCATGAGGGGCCTGGTGCCGCTGGTAGCTAATCTAATAGTCAATTCATACAATAGTTGCTTACTATATAATTAGGACATGGTCCTATCTGTCATATACACATTACGTCTTAAAGTCCGTGCTGCAGCTGGCTATAGATCTGTAGCCCGCTGCTCTTCTCTCTCTTCCTTTATCTCTTTAAAATATGTTTATAACTGACTTATAGCCCGCTATTGTACATGCTCTAAAGAGTATTCTACACTCACAAAAGAAAATTCAGTACGCCTCTGCCTCTGTCCTATTTTAAACACAACCATGAGTTCTCGTATTCAATTTTAATTGTTCATATTATTTAAAACTTTTATATGATTAGTATTTTTTTATAATATAATAAAATATGAATAATGCTTTATACGTGACTTATGCTTTCTAATTTTTTTATTAAAATTTTTTAAATAAGACAGACGATTAAAGTTGAACGCGAAAATTTATGGTTGCGCTTAAAATGGGATGGAGGGAGTACTATACTCCTAAGGAAGAAAAACTAAAGCGTACGGAATACTAGTTTATCACACGGAAAAAAGAATAGCGTTTGTAGATTAGTGCAAATGAAATGATAAAACCCATTTACTACAAGTGCCCTAAAATATAAAGAGTTTTAAAATTAGACATGGGTACTGAGAATTGGTGAAATTCAATGGAGGAAAGTTATGAATGTGATGACTTCGTCAATCTTAAGATATGCCGACCCAATTTTCCAGAGTTACTCATATTGATTGGATGTTTGTGTGTGCATAAGGGTGAGTGTGCACTCATTGTGAGCGCATGCGTTTGTACAGTATTCCAAAAACCGGGAAAAAGTTATGATTAGTTTAGAAGAGGAGGTATGTAGGAAATTTGAATGGGAAATATTATGATTAGGTGGATAAGTTATTAAATTTTAAGACTAGAAGTTATCGTACTGTTTATATGCTGGTGACATTTATCTTCTCTTATGTCTTATATAGTGAAAGCAACAACTTTTTTTACATAACGACATGCCACACCATTACAAACATATTGACCATTGGATAAAGATTTGGATAAATGATGTTCATTGGATAAAAGGGTAGCATTAAAGAATATCACAAGTAAGCTTTTTTTGCCTACTCCTATAATACTTTTAGACACGTGATATAAAGGGAGGAGGGAGCTAGGGGGAGGGGCCAAAGACCATGATGAAAAAAATATATTAGGAGGCTTCTAGCATGATTGAAAAAATTAATTATATGATTGTATATGTTTTAAACATACTTATGTTTTTTCATGTCCGGATGTGGTAGTAGCACAAATAAAATCTGCTTCCGCGTGATGGGTTTGACTGCTGTTGCTTCGTCAATACGCACAGTATCTTTTGTGGTGTCAGTGGTGTCGTCAAGCGTTGCAGCCAGCTAGCCTCGCTTAGAGCACCCGCAATAGTAAAGTAAGGTGCTCTCTATAAAACATATACATATCAGTAATAGACTAGATTAATAGTAAACCACCTCAATAGTATGTCTACATGAGTATCTATAGCTCTCTAATGCATTGTCTCGTTTTTCTCT